CTCACCTACCAAAACTTAATTTCAATATGCTTTACTTATGATGTTTCTTAGCGACTCAAACGAAGCTTATCAATATTTTGTTTTGTGATTATTCGGCGCGGAAATATTTTTCAGAAAGAAGTCTGTAAATGCGGTGATAAATTTGTGAACTTTTTTTTAAAGATGTTTTTTAAAGATGTAAAGATTTTTATATTTGATCAAAGTTGTAAGAGTCGTCGAAAAAAAAAGAGAGAAGAAAAAAAAGTTTAAGCAATAAAAAAAGCAGACGACTTTTTTTTAAACTGTTCCAGCTGATTAAAGCAAAATGATATGGAAATTCCTTTACGGGAAAAGATATGGGAAAAATTTTGTGAAAAGCTGATGGCGAGCGCCTATTTCATGGTCCACCCTTACATTCGAATTTCAGATTAATCTCCTGTTTCCTTAAAACGCAGAATGCAAATAAATATTCTAATTAAAATCAATATGCAATGTGAAAAGGATCTAATGAGCATTACGTAACGAAAAGTATTAAAAAAAGTTTAAAAATATTTTGTGAATAATTCGTTTCATTCATATGTTCATAATTTATCAGAAAACAGTTCATGTGTCACGTTATTTTAATAAACGAAAAGCAAAATAGGAACGAATAAATTATTGAGTTACATTTCGGTAGAAAAAAAATGCCGGAAATATTAAAAAAGACTTTTTAAGCTTTTATTTTGAGTGCCTTTAAAGTTATATTAAAGTTTAAAAAAGTTAAGCAACATTACGACCGCTAGAGAAATTTTGTAATTAAACAAAACACTGTTTTTTAATGAGTCTTTTTTTTTCTTGAATTGTTAAGTAATTTTATTGAAAATTCTTAACGAGAATTTGTTGGGTTTTTTTTATTCGGAAGTAAAAGAAAAAGGGAAAAAAAATCTTAATTTATTTTGGATAAATGCTTTTATTTTCAACCCAAATGAATTCGAGAAAATTAAATTTTAGTGACTTTCTGAATTTATTTTCGTCGAGATAATCACTTTATAAGAAAAACAAAGAAACGGGTTATGAAATTATCTATCCTTGAATTAAATAAGTTTTTTTATTCTCTCTTTGAGGAAGTAATATTAGAAAAATCACATTTAAATTTTTCTCAAATGTGAAGAAATAGTAAATAATAATAAAGTTTAAATTGAACGTAAAAAAATTAATGCGGGAATAAAATTGATCTTTTAATGTTTTTTCCCCATTTTTTTCTTGCTTTTTTTTTAATCATCATCATAATTAACTTAAAAATGAATTTCGAATAAAAAACTTTCACGTGCAATTTCCTTTTTTTAAAAAAATAATTTACTAAATAGGACGGCTATATTTCAAGTAAGGGTCGGTCACTTGAATTGAACATTTTGAAGACATGGTACTGTCCGTACAGGTTACCTACACAGCTATAACTGAGCACAGTTATTTCCAAGGAATGCCAGGGAGCCGTAAGGGCTCAGGAGATAGAGCGTTTGCTTTCCAATGAGGTAAACCGGGTTCTAATCCCAGCGATGGCTGGTCGACACGAATTCCGCATCAGGCTTGCACCAACTACAGGGCTGACGTAAAATATCCTCAGTGGTTGACGGTTCATGGGTTAGAGTCCCCTTGCGATCAGTCTAACCATGAGAGTTTTTCTTGGTTTTCTTCGATATATAACGCAAATACGGGTTTGTTCCATCAAAAAGTTCTCCTCGAAGGCAAATTTCTTCACATACTTTTCCCAGGAGTTCCCTTGTTTTCTGGATAGGGTTCAAAATTACAAGGCAACGGAGTTGAACGTTAGTTGTCGAAAACCTAAAAAATTGGGTCATCTGTTTAACGACGGTTATAAAAAAAGGAAACCCTGGACACGACGCAAGCACTCACTGTGACGCACGCGTCACCTATTAGTATACAGAACAAAACGGCTCTTAACTAGAAAACCGCTCTCATAAAATAGCAATATACGAAGTAATATAGAATTGGGCATTATTGGGTTAATATTTATTTAAAAATTTCACTAATTTTAAATTTTATCGGAATTTGACTTAAAATTCACAATTGATTGAACATTATACTACTATTAATGACGCCTGTTATTTTCTAAGCTCTCGATAACAGGAACTCATTACCTCCCCCTTCACTTTCTACAATATTCCGGATTTCCTTCAAAATTTTCTACTGCAGATTTTTTTATTATTATTATTTGTTTATTAAATTGAATTTTCAAGGTTGAAATTCAAAAACAGAAAACTCCAGTGGGCAGGCGGCGAAATTATCAATTTCCGTTTTCGGCAGTCCTTTCTTCCGGCAGCTGAAGCCCAACGTGGAAACACGGAAGTAAGGAGAAATTTATTTTGTCGACCATTTTATAACAAATAAGTGTTTTCCTTTCTCATCATTTTTTTTTATTACAATACTTTCCGTATCGCCATTTCAAACATACAAAACCAATTCATAAGAGCACTAAAATTTATTAATATAAATTTTCGAGAAATTAAAATGAAAACTTATGTAAAGAAAAAAAAAGAAAAAAAAAATCCTTAACTTTGTTCGGAGTAAATAAATAGAGTAGGATAACACTTTTACTACATTTCAATACATTTTAGTTTTGCCGGATAACGGTTTTTTGATTAAAAAATTTATTGAAAGAATTAAATGACTTTGAACTTAAAGAAAAAAAGACAAAGTTATGTTAGGTGCACACTGTACTGTGCGCAAAAAAATAAAAATAAAATATTACCCAAAATTTATCAGATCTAATTTTTGTGTTATCGTTTTATTTAAAACTAGTCGAAAATCTTTGTAACTAAAAGATTAACAAAAAAATTATATAATTTTGAATTAAGTGAAAATTTAACTGACGCAAAATGCAAAATTTAAAAGAATAGTTTTCGGGAAATAAAAGATTAAAGAATTTTTTTCCAACTCAAATAATTTGACCAATTTCGCCAAAAGTTGAAATAAAATATTCTTTAACACAATTCGTTGGGTTATTCAACATTAAATTCAGAGAAATATTACACCACAATTTGCATAAATTACCGTGATTGACCAAAATCAAGAATATATCGACATTCACCGGTGAATGTCAACAATCACATTATCGCTTTGGCGAATGTCCGAAATAGATTCATACGAATAAATTCATATCCGATTTGATATCTATTTATTCGTTGTTATTATTATATTCATTCGATATTTTAATATCTCCAGAGGATAAGTTAGGTGAAACATTCGGAGTGCCGTTTATAAATGCATACTGGGCAGTGGCACTTGACCTTAAACAAAAACATTGATGTCATCAACCGGTGAATGTCGATGTCACCAACATTCACCGGTGGATGTCAACAACTGTCATTTTTGGGTAACTCACAGTAACATATACACATAATCCATAATAAAAAAGATAAAACGTATTTTTATCGAAAAATAAGCAAAAATTTCTATAAATAAAATTCTTTTCTTTTTATCGTATTTGTAAAAATAAAGAAAATTTTATGAGGTATTTTTAAGTATCCGAACCGTGACGGAAATAACTGGATCAATTTACGAGTTTATTCAATTGTTTTGAGAACTTTTGAGAGTGTGTTTATATTTCCTCCGAACCGCATCTTTTTTGGAGAGAGAAAAACTATTATTTTTATGGCCTTTTCTTGCTCAACTTTTATTCCACTTAATGGTAAAACATAAATTTTCTGGAGTAAGAAGTGAAAAAGAAAAAATTAATCGGTATTCAGAAAACTTTCTTATTCATTGTTTTAAGCTTTAAATAAACTTTTTATTTTATTTTGGATACTCGAAATCTTTTTTTTCTTCTGACAGCTGTATGAATACAACATTTTATAGTACGTATAAAATTTTACGAAAAAAAAATAGTGCGTGGATTCCCCCCACGCAGAAGAAGTTAAACTTCGCAACCTGCGACGTTAATTGTAGAAGAATCAGCAGTCGTAGAAGGATCACTAGTTCTATTCAACGACTCTTTTTCCCTTCCGTGCTCTGTAATCACGGTAATATTGTGCATTTTTCCCTCGTGGACCTCTAGAAAGAGTGGAAGTGCTTGTGGTTGCCTCATCGTCTCGCCNAAGAAAGAAGATCAAGCATTTTTCTTTTTTAAATTTAATAAGCCACATTAAAGAAGGAACGTTGCAATGCTACACGCTACATTAACGACGTCTCCAGAGTAACTGAATGACGGTTCATATAGAAATCGCAGGTATGCGTCTCATACAACAACGCCCCCTATAGTTCGTTGCGATCGCGAATTATAGAAAAACAATACTTTTATGACTTTTATTATTTTTATGCTAGTGAGAACCAAAACAATATGGAAATGAATGAGGGAAAACTGGATCCTACCACGTGATTTCCCAGCCAATAAAAATGAAGCGTTAGACGTTTAACGCAACCTTGTTGGAAGTCGCATAAGAAGTATAACTTCAAAAAAGTAAAATAGTAATTATTATTCTAAGTAAAATAGTAATTTTCAGGTAATACTATGCAGCTGTACTGTTTTTACTCGGATGAAACCGGTTGGCACTTGCTTACGCTCCTGTATCAATGGGTTAACATTGTAATGCAATACCTTAAAAATAAATACAAATAGGAAGCATATAAAAAATCTCCTGAATAAAAACCCATTACATGTATATTTAAATATAAAAGTATTGCCTATAAACTCGTGCAAGGCATGTAATTATTATGTGAGTGAAGAGTTTTCTATAAATCATGCAAATAATAAATAAGTAAATTAATAAAGAAATAAAAATAAATAAAGAAATAAATAAATAAAAATAAATAAATAAATTAATAAATAAATACAGATTTAAAATTTAACTGACGGGTCGAATTCAAAATATAGAATTTAACCCTACGATTCTATAAGAGAGTTTATTTACAATATTTTAACAAAATAAACCTCCGAATTTTAGAATCAAGATAAAGCTTTTAAATAAATGATTCGGAAAATTTCATCTAATTTACTGAGTAGAAGTAAACGAGTTTACTTTTACCTTATCATCTTTTGAAATTCCGCTGGCCTGACCACCAAACATAAATTTATCCCCTTTCGAACGTTAAGAACCTTTTAAGAAAGTAGGTTGTGCACTAAATCAACTGCTACCGACATATAACGCGAACGAAAAGATAAGATGGCTGCTCTGAAGTAAAGTGAAGCAAAGAAAAAAAAACTAAATGATGGCCTCGATGTTTATGAGAAATCGTTTTATTATTTAGCGTGTTCGTAAAAATAATTTTTAGCCGCTGGTTGGACGCAGGCGATAATAACTAGGGTTTAATTAGTTTAAATTGTTTTCCTCAGCTTCTTGGTGAGAAATTACGAGTTGAACAAATTTGGTGTTTTCAGAGGTATTTTTTTTTTAAAGTTAATGCGTTTTTAATGCAGGGTTATTATGAAAGTAACAATTATTATTTAATATATTGATAAATGATAGTTTTAACCAATAAGGAGTTTTGGAAAATTAAATGAGTTTTTGCCAAATAATGTATTTAAATTGTATTCTTATTTGCAATTTATTTCGCGCTTGTTAGTTTATGCATTACGTTTCATTACACTGAAAGTAACTTTAGTTTATCTTGACACCAAAAATGGCGGCAACTACTTGATTCCATTACACTTAGAATATTATAGCTCACGGTATATTATTTCTCTATAAGTATTTTTGCATCCCTTATTTAAAGTCCTGTATTGCTATTATTACAGTTTTGATTCAAGAGTTTATAACTAAGAGAATTGCTGTTCATTATTATAATGTAATTCTGCACTACATTTTGAGATAAAGTTATTTAGAGAGGTGGTCTTATCTTAATTACAGTTTTACACTTATTATTTTGGTGCAAATAACATTAATATACTGTTATAGATTACTGTTAAAGGGATCTGTTGTTAAATGATTTGCAACTTAACGATCAGCTTCATGCCCAACCAGATGCAGGCAAAAATAGTGTTTAATATATCCACCCGTTTGGTATTATTAAATATTAAATTACGGTTGTGAACTCAACAAATTTGTTTGAACACTATATTGTTGTAACGATATAAATGTTATTTTACAAATGATTACTTAAAAAAATATTTCTGTTCACCCATAGACTTAAATATTTATAATACTAATAGATTTGGAGCTAATAGATTACTGATAGATTTAGAAGTGGAGGCACAAGCGTAAGCAAATAAAATTCTTTTTAGCACATATATGTTAAGCGAATAATTTTAATTTTTGTATAAAAACTATTTTCTGTCAAGAAACAATAAGTATTGTAAAGCATTGATCCGGGTTGGTGAGCAGCAGCAAACGGGGGGCTTGGCTCCCTAGTAGTCTATATTTGTTATAAAAGTTATAAAATTTAAATTTCGAAAATTGCGGCTACCGATTATCAAACGTTCCTGTTAAACTCATTCATAGAATTCAGCGCAAGTTAGATTTTCCAGCAGGACGTTGAAAAAAATTTGATAACGATGAATGCTTTATATGAACATCAAAAAAGAATAAAACAAAAAATTTTTCTGATCATTAGTTCTGTCTAAAATTCTTCATTTATGTTCCGAAATTATTTCTTTAATACTCTCCCATGATTTTAAAAATAAGAGAGGATTTTAAGGATTATATTGTTACTGTAAATGACCGAAATGGGCATTTTATTTCATTTCATAACCGTCGTTGAACAGCCGACCCAATTTCATGGGTTTACGACTACTTACGTTCAACTCCGTAGCCTTGTAATTTTGAACCAATCCAGAAGACAAGGAAACTCCTGGATCAGTACCCCCAGAGGTATTGATTTGTTGTGGGAACATGGAGGACTTTGAGACTCGACAGATTTAACGTGCATCAGTCACCATTTACTACACGGGGAGTCTTCGGCCGGCGAGGATCGAACCCACGACCTCTTGGATATGGGCCCAGCGCCCTACCGACCAGGCTATCCCGGCCTGAAATGGGTATTTGTTGACTTCAACCGCTTGACAATCACACAGTCGCCAGTGGAAGTGAAACCTAATTTGCCAATTGGCCTAATTGGTTTCTCTCACTGCATACAGTTCTCTTAAAAGATCCTCTGTATTGCTTCAGACATTTTGATGTTCATATAAAGCTTTCTTGGGGTGTCCCCCAAGAAAGCTTTGAAACCTCCAGGGTTCATCTATTTCAGATTATATATATATATATATATATATATATATATATATAACAAAAA